GAGACCCGGCGGCAGCCCTGCCGGGAGGCCGGGTACCTGGTGCGCACCAGCGAGAGCGGCAGCGGCAAGTACTCCATCGCCCTCAAGTGAGTGGGTGGGTGGGCACCCACGGCAGGGGGGGGGGCCCAAACCCCGGGGGGGTGGCACCCTGGGGGTTTGCTGCAGGTCTAATGGGGTGGGAGCAGCCAAGTCCCAGAGGGAAGGAGGTCACTGATCTACCTACAGGGGTCCTGGTGCTGGAGCCCCGATGGGGTGGGAGCACCCGTGTCCCTGGGGATGGCGCTCACCCACGAGGGACCCAGGCGTTCTGGAGCCCTGATGGGGAGGGAACACCCTGGTAGTTCCCAACGGGGCGTCCCTGGCGTGGGATCCCTGGGGCACATCCCTCCCCAAGGGCAAGCACTGAGAGGGGGGGAGGGTCTCAGGGGACACACAGCCCCCTCCCTGACCCACCGTCCCTCTTCCCTGCAGAAATCCGCCGCCGGGGCTCCAAGGACCCCCTGGTCAAAGCCATCCTGCTGCTGGAGGGTCCTGGGGAGCCTGGGGAAGGGGGCAGCAAGCCAGAGCCAGCCAAATGGCCAGTGGGCAAGGAGGTGGTGGGGAAGGGGCCACAGCTCTATGACACCCCCTATGAGCCCGGGGAGGGGGTGCCCGGGGGACCCCCAGAGCGCAGGGTGAGGGCCGGGGACGGGCGCCTGCCCGAGAACGACGAGCGGCCAGCGGGAGAGTATGAGCAGCCCTGGGAGTGGAAGAAGGAGCAGATTGTCAAAGCACTGTCAGGTAGGGGATGGGGACATGGATGGGGATGGGGACATGTATTGGGATGAGGACATTGATGGGGATGGGGACACAGATGGGGATGGGAACATGGATGGGGGTGAGGGTGGGGACACGGATGGGATTGGGGCTGGAGACACAGATGGGGATGGGGACAGAGGTGAGGCTGGGGATAGGGACAAGAATGGAGGCATGGAGGTTGGAAGAAGGGTAAGGCTGGGGGATGGAGACATGGATGGAGATGGGGACAGGGACATGGCTGGGATGGGGACAAGGATGGGAATAGGGACAGGGACAAGAAGTGGGTCACAGGGATGGGGCTGAAGACAGATGGGGATGGGGACAAAGATTGGGGATGAGGACATGGATGAAGACTGGGCTGGGGACAGAGGTAGAGATGAGGCTTGGGCTAGGGATGGTGGTGGTATGGAGGGGGCTTTGGGGACTCACATCTCTTCCCCCCCAGTCCAGTTTGAGGGCTCAGAGCGCCCCAAGGAGGAGGCACCGCGGCAGCACCTGCGCCAGAAGAGCTGGACCCCCAAGATGCTGAAGCCGGCGGGCACGGACCACGGGGAGGGGGAGCGGGTGGACCCTGCCCTGGCGCTGGAGAAGCAGCCGTGAGTCTGGAGGCCACGTGCGGCGGGAAACGG